TCCTTCTCCTAAAACTCTTGTCAAAGCTGAAACAACGTCTTCACGCAGCGCTTCTGCAGCTATCTCTTGATCAGACAACAGATTGGCTAAAGCAGCCACTGCAGTAGCTGCAGAATCAATGGACGCTGTTTTGGCCAGCTTGATTAAAGGTTTGACATGCCCTTCACCAATATGAGGCATCTTGTGTGTAGATTTTTGTTTTGATGCACGGGATAAAGCATGCAATACACGAGCTGACTCTGTTGCAACAGCTGGAGAATTGCTACCCAAAAGTTTCATGCAAGGATTAACCACTTCATCTGTTGCGAGACTCTCACAGATATCATGTCGAGTGCTAAATACATCTGCCAGGACAGAGGCAGCATGTACTTGAGTATCTTCATTTGAGGAATTAAGAACATGGACTAGCGACATTATTCCTTGGTTAGCAGCTGCACCTTTATTCACAAGGTCAGTGTGAGATGCCAAGGTAAGCACATGGCCTAACACCTCAGTTACATGGGCCTTTGAGCTTGGTAAATCTCCCAGGAGCAATACTAACAATTGATTAGTGGTAGCTGAATCAGCAGCTGTGATTAGCTTTGTTAAAGCCCTAGCTGATGTTTCTTGCCCCTTTGATTCACCATTTTTGAGGAGCCACAATAAAGCCTGTATAGCTCCAGCACTTTCAACACAGGCACGATTCTCTTCACTATGACAGCAAAGGTTATGAATAATAAGTGCTGCGTCTTCCTTAGCCTTCTGAGACCCCATTTCTAGTAACTGGACCAGTGGTGGAATCCCACCAGCAGCAGTGATTGCCCACTTGCTCTCGTCAATTTGGTCAGTTAGGATTGCAAGCATTTCAACAGCATACTCTTGATGCTGTTCACTGGATAAACCCAGCAGTGATATCAGTAAGTGAATTCCTTCCTTCTTTCCAATTGCTTCCCAAACAGTCATTCCATCACAGCATAAACGTAACAGGGACAATATTAAATACTCTAGTGCATCACCACTTGCCATTGTTGTTATCCCAGTGAGAGCCTTCTTAGATTCGGATTTTTGGACACGTTTTGCCAGATAAGCATTGCCATAAAGGCTTCCCATAGCCTCAAGAAGACGCTCCTGAACCAATTTATTATCCCGTGGCTTTAGGAGCATTGCAAGAATACTCTCAATCTTTGTTGCATCAAATATTTCTTCTTCTACTTTGTGCTCAAAGACCATAAGAGCATATGCAAGTGTTCCAATGATATCAGCTACTGGAGCAGCTAACCTTGGGGACTGTGCAAGCTCACCCAGATATAGTAACAGAGGAGACATTCCACCACATATATTGGCTAAAGCTTGTATTGCATGCCGTTGAAGTTTCTCTTTTTCCTCTCTTTGCAGTTTTTCTTTAGAAGGAGAAATGACAGCTCCTGTAAGTGCTGTGACACCCTGTGAGTCAACAACAGCGTCCTGTTTCTCTTTTCCCTCACTTTGCAGTCTTTCTTTAGAAGGAGTAATGACAGCTCCTATAAGTGCTGTGACACCCTGTGAGTCAATAACAGCTTGCTTTGCTTTGTCACATTGTGAAGTAAGAACCTCTAAAGCCTCAGCTGCACTGGCGCGAACGGAAACATCATCTTGCTGAGCTAACAGGCTAAAGAGAACTTTGATTCCTCCAGAATCAATTACTTTTGGAATGCTATCACTGAATGCCAACATTATACGAGCCAATAAAGAAGCTGCATTTGATTGAGTGGAAGCACTATTAGAAGAAAGAAGTCTAACAATGATGTCCACTCCCCCACCCTCTAGTGTTGTCCTCCAATGTCCATCTTTATCACCACAGAGATTTCTCAAAGCCCCAACAACAAATCCTTCCACTGTTTTGTCCGGCTTCTTTTTTGAATTCAGCTGCTCCCACAAAGTTGGTACGACACCTTCTGTAATGAATATTTTCATGCCAATCGGATCATTTGAAACTCCACTAAATGACACCGCAAAAATTGCTTCCGCAGCTGCTTTCCTTGCATCAGCTGAATCAGACTTTAAAAGTGAAAGTAGAGGTGGAATACATCCACCTAGAAGCACCTTTAACCGCATGTCTTCATCTCTGCACAATACAGTTAAGGTTGAAGCAACATTGACTTTTGCGAAAAGAGTTGCATTTCTGAGAATTGATATGAACAGCGGCATTGCTTGGCCATGTGAACCAATAAGACGTCTTGCTTCTTTTCTAGCTTTGGCAATGCCGAGAAGACGTGCTGTAGTAAGTTCTTTTTCATGTGCAGATGATTGATTCAGATGCAGCTGATCAATAAGTTGAGCAAGTCTTGGCAGTGCCTTTTCCGAATCATCCATTTCTGCAGCTTCATTGGACTCCCTGAAAGTAAATATATAATACCTTTGAATTATCTGAGTAAATCCTTTTTAATAGGTTATCTAGATAAATCATATTGTCTCATGAATTCATGAAAAAGGATAAATAAAATCAAGCAATGTGGAATTGAAATTTTCAATCAGAAATTAACTGAGAGGTCACAATATTTTGGCTCCCTGTACGTACCAGATGCCCAAAGTTTCTCCACACCTACGAGATACTAATATGTTCTCTCTCTCAAGCAAAAGTATAGGATATAGAAACTTCTTTTAGCAAAATCTTTAACAACCACAATATAGTAAATAAATGCAGCTAGAACACGGAGTAAAGAGAGGAAGAAACCTGCTCTTCTGAGCAGAAGAGGATGACACATCCTTGTCCCTTAATTCAAGGGAAGAAACGTCTGTCATTGGCAACAAGCCTCCACTTTGACACTTTTGTGGCTTCCTACAGAGCGTAAGTATCTTGTGTTAATGAAGCATTCTGGTTAGCTTGGTTACTATATGCACAAACAATAAGTAGTCGAAATTTGAGAAATATAGAAAAGTATGGATGCATTTTTCTTCATAAATCTTCATGAGAAACATAAAGCAGACGCGCAAATAAAAAAGGGAAAAGGAAGAAGAGTAACACAAAACTCAAACAGGGTTCAATTCATGCTTACCCCAACAATTTTCACATTCTTCAAACCATTAAAATCACAATTCCACATAATACTTGCCACCTATAACCCTGTCCACCAAAGTTAGAACATATGTGAATAAATCACTGGTGTTTTTGCCTTTGCTGGGGGTTTTAACCCGTTACCTACTCACTTCATCGATCACTATGTCACAACCTGGGTGCTAAAATTTCAATATTTATTGAAGCATACAGAAATTTTCTTCTTTCCCACACAGTCCAATTAATCACGAAAAAACCATTTCACTAACACAAAATTCAACAAATCTACTAAACAACATGCTTAAAATTCCATTGCACGAAATGTTTAACAACAATGCAAAGTAATAAAGGAGAAAAAAAAAATGATAACAAAGAATTTTGCATATTTACCTTGTCTCTGAAATTTGCTAGACTCCTGCAAAATTCAGCTCCTCTTGCTCTCCAGGGTTAGAAACCAGAAGAAACCCAAATTTTCTCCCCAATTTATGAAGTGCTTATAAATAATATGTACGTATATATCAACAAAATATACGTATAGAGGTATACATATATATAAATATCTTTTTACATAATGGCACAACAAGGCTTTACCCACAAAAAATCTGCATAACCCAAAAAAAAAAAATCAAAACCAATTCATCCTCATTAACGCAAATACACACATGCAGGTAAGGAAGATAAACCTACATTAACGTTTAAATGTAACTATATAAATTTATTTTATGCCAGATTGATTGAAAAGAGTATTTGCAGAATCTACAACGTAGAAATGATCATTCTCATGGAAAAAAAATATAGCATTATTGTTTTCAATAAATCCTCTTCAAATTGGGAAAAACAAAATTGATGAGTAAAAAAGTACCTTTGGGGAATTGTAGAGTTGAAGAAGAAGATGGAGAATGGAGTGAGACACGATTACACGAAGGTGTAGAGAGAGAAAGAAATGCAGAGGAAAAATAGGAGACAGAGAGACTCTGAATTCTGTTTTTTTCTTCTCTCTTTTATTTTTCATGCGGTGCTTTATTTGCGCCTATATTTACACATGCAATTCTATATACAGTACTTTCCATATATGTTACTACGTATGAATATATAGTATATATGATTATATAGTGCAAACGTGGAATAAATAAGGGATGTTTGCAGAAAATTGGTTCAATATATTTTATAATATTCAATTCATAACAAATAAATATTAGTTAAAAGATATGTTCATGTAGACGATACTATTAATTATAGTTGTATTTTGGAATTTGAGTGAAGTTTTTCTATTAGTTCATAAATTGTCTTTGTAACATATAAATAGTAGGTCGTTTAATTTTGACATAATTATCGTCCTGAATAATACAAAAACAAAATATTTACTAATACTCTACATTTTTCATCACTTTAAGGTCATGCAAACGTTCATCACATTATTCAATTCTCTCACAAATGTTCATCACAATGTTCATTGGATGCAATGAAACGAAAGGATCGAACGAATATGCATGATCTGAAAATAAAAGTCCTCTCACAATAAAAGGAAATATTACTTCTAATCGATTCTTTGGCCATTTTGTGTAAAATTATAAAGTGACGAGGTGCTGTTGGATGTTATGATGAGTTTGAGAAGCGGTAATGTTGTGATTAACATTTTTGACTAATCATGGGTGAAAGAGGAGCTCCAAAAATATTTTCAGATAGACCTTTGACAGACGAAGATCACAAAAGAGTGTTAAGGTATTGTAGAGCGGATATTTGCATATTTATTTCTTGTTTCTTCTATTTAAGTTGAATGATTAGTATGAATTGATTATCTTGTTTGTAGATTTACGTCAAACATTTTGATTATCTATCTTGCACTTAATTATTTGATTACCAATTAAATATTATCTACAAATCTAAAGTTGAAATCGAGAGAGGAAACAGTAGATTGCACATATGATAAACTATGAAGTTGAACTCGGGTGAGGGAACCATAGTCCATAGATTGCACATACGAAACTCGGGAGAGAGAACAGTTTAAAAAATTTATCTCCAAATATCTGTTTCTACAAAAATCTTCAAGTTCCTAAGAACTGGCTCAGATTGGGCCAGTTTATCTTAACCAGTTCCAAAACTTCAATTTCTTTTTCTAAAGTAAAAATGCACCTACAAATACAACTTAACTTCAATAACTCAAATTTTCAAGTTCAAAATCTATGGTCAAATGAGAGCTTAGATTCGATCTGGAGAAGGATTGCATGCTGATGTTTGCAGCAACAGGGATCGACAGGCATCCAGAAGTGCATTGAGATTCATGTTGATTCACGAAAGCAAAATCATCTCAATTGCGACTTGATCTAAATTCATTTCAAGTTGGAAATTTCGACTATCCAAGCTTGTTCCGAAGAAGGAACACTAAACTTCATCAATTTGGACACTGAATTGTTGATTCATTCTTCAGCAACTGAGAACATGGTGCAGGGAAAACACTGCAGCTAGAACCAGAGATATATTCACAATTCCACTTCATTGATGGGGCTAACCCAAATAAACTGATGTTTTTCATGTGTATGTCCTCAAATGGTGCTTCCTCTATGCCTACTAGCAAGGGAGGTCTCTTTGATTCTAGACTGACCACATTACTGATAAAAATACCTCTTACTTTAGGTAGGGCTTTAGGATCCCATTTCTCATCAGGGTGGTCATTTGCTCCCCTGCTAAATCTAATGGGTACCTTCACTCTTTCCGTTCTCATGTTATTGATTGTAATATTGACGATGTATCCACCTCTTCCAATATCAGTTTTGATCCGTACACCAGCTGCAGAATCTCTAACATATAAGTCTTCTATGAGGACATTAGAAACACCTCCAGACATCTCACTGCCGATACCAACCCCTGAGCATGTTGGGGTTGTGCCTTTCACTCTCCTTACAATGATGTTTGAGCTTGGACGAGCCATTTTCATACCATACTGATCCCACCCGCTTTTCACTGATATAAGGTCATCACCACTCTCAATGTAACAGTCTTCAATGCAGACATTCAAGCTGGAGTCTGCTAACAAACAGTTACGCATATAAAATTAGATATTCTAGATACTCTTAATCTTACAATCTAGTTTGGAATAAGTAATAAAATAGAGCGGACAGTTTTATATGCCTACGATAAATGAATCGACTGGAAAAAAAAGTGAAGTACGGTTAAAATTAAGGGTGTGTTTGGTATGTAAATGTTTTTCATTTTTCCCATGTTTGATTGGTTATAATTTTTGGTTTCTCTAGGAAAACAAGTTACCTAAAAATAAGAAAAATGACTTACCTATAGAAAGTAAGAAATAAAATCTTGCAAGTGACATTGCATATTTATTGACTCCTTGCCACTCCCCAATGCACCCTCCGTAGTCTATATCCCCACTATACACACCCTACGCTCCACCTCATCCTCTATAGTGTTTGTCTAGATTATACACAATGTTTTTGGGACAATATCTCTACTTACTTATCAAACATGAGAAATTAAGTAAGAAAACCACTTATTTTTTATGAAACATTTTCCTTCATACCAAACACACCCTGAAAGTAGAGGTGAAAGAGAAGTGATAATTTTTCCCTTCATTTTAGTTTTAGTTGAATATGGGAGATGCACTAGATAATAAAATTCCAAATCATTCTTCTTTCTCCTGACAAAAGATTTCAAGTATTTCATCAGAACTTAATGGTACTGCGGTATAGGATATACCTGCATCAATGCCATCTGTGTTAGGGGCATTGAGAGGAGCCAAAATAGTCATGTTTCTAATTACAATATTCCTGAAACAAATGCAACATTAAGCGTTACTCTAGCAGCTAAAATGGATAATTTGGCGAATAAAAATAGTTCTTGTGAAGGAAAACTAATGAAAGGAGGAAAGAGCATGTTTATTTAACAACAATTTCCTGATTAAACTCCTGCATCTTAAGATTTTGCCTTGTCCTCACCTCAACATTCTACACAAGCAGGAAAAAGACTACTTTGGCAACATTGAATCCTTTTAATCTATTGGTTGGTTCTTGTGAAAAAAAACGAGGATTGGTTCCAACACATTTAACGGTAGTAACTAGTAACCGATATCACCAACTTAGTTGTTCTTTGAACAAAACCACATCACTTCTGCTTCTATTGGAACACAAGATTCCCCTTTTCTGTTTGTGCTGCTATAACATTATACCTTTAGTTGTTCGATTGATTAATTGAATCTGAATATCAACTTTTCAAAAAAATACTGTGCAGCAATGAAGAGCAATTTCCTCGAGCCAAAGTAATTAGTAATGCATATATCCATAAGTACCATGCAAAAATAGATAGAGCAGTTATCAGGAGAGCAAGAACCTGCAATAGACAGGATGAATTGTCCAAAATGGAGAGTTCATGAGTGTAAGATTTTGGATGAGGATGTTCTGCGAGTTAATCAGTTCAACAAGGTGGCCTCTGGTGTGTACCAGGGTTCTATTCCACCAAAGATCCCACCACATCTTTCCCTGACCATCTACAGTTCCATTTTCCCCTGAAATTAAGCAGGAAACTTTGATCAGATGCACAGGCACAGAAAAAGTCACAGCAAAGCTCCATTCTCATTCGAAAGGAAAGAGGGGAAATAGAGAGTGGGGAAGTAATAATGATATACATTTATGGAAAGAGAGAATAAAAGAGTGATCACTGAAATAAAACGTAACTACACAAAAATATTACATTCTCACAGAATCCATTTTGGTAAAGTTTGTGTCTATGAACTCTTACTTCTAATATACTTTGAGCATGTTCATGGATTATGGTAAAGGGGAAGTGGTCAAGAAGCGTAGCTACCATTATTTATGAGGCAGTAGTACTTAGAATTAAATATTTGTAGCAGTATAGACGTCATTGTTTGCAAGTGTGTATACCAATCCCTCATGCAAGAAATAATTAAAAGAAACCATTCCCAAATAAAATTCTCTATTTGAAAATTAGATTGATTCTTGAATCAAGATTATCCCTTACAAAAATCTTTAGATAACTATTTTAGACAAACACTAGGATTAAGATGGAAACTACTCTTTGTGTTGAGATGTTAAAACTATGCACCATTTACCAAACTGTTTTCTCAATCAAAATTATCCTGCAAAGGACCTTATAACACACTGCTTATCTGCAAATCTGAGTATGATATTACTGCACAATCTTTAGAATTCTGGTCAAAGAAATTTTTTAAGTTTTGAAGTCGCATGTCAGCAATTCTAACACATGGAATGAGGGGAGGGGAGGGGAGGGATTTAGGAAGCACTTTAAACAAAATCTGAATGCTTTCTCCATGTTCTTACTGCTAACAAAGATCATGATCAGTTGAACAGCTGATATCTAGTTGCTGTTGCTATTCTTAATCTTACAAAGAAGTTTCAGCATACTCTGAATTTACTGTTGCTTCAAGTGGAGCTAGAGTTACTGACAGGTACTAGCCAGCAAAAACAGTTGACATCCATCAAGAGATTCTTGATTAAAGTAATGCTCCTCATTAGAAGTAAATAATAATCATCTTGGCTTCTACTTTTTCTTTAGTTTATCAGCTGACTTAGTCTATCAACTAATCACATGTCAATGTACCAAAACAGTACGAACTAGAGTTACACTCTACATTCTGTAATCATTCTTTGAAATCAAGATGCAAACAGATTTTTTCAACTCAGACTTTGGTGTTTTAGACATTACATACATCATATTCAAGAAGAACCTTCAGCACTAGAATACAATTTAACCTTTTGCTATGGTCCAGGTCCCTGATATCATCCAAGAAAGTTTAACTTCATTGAATACTGAGGAAATTCAAGACCAGCTCAATTGGCATCTAATAAATATCATAGGGTGGAAGAAGATCTCAAGCATAATGAAGATTTGTTGAAGTCTTGCACTATTTGAAGGCCCGAATTGAAGTCCAAAAGGATGTGCATTTTGGGGCCCAAAAATAAATAACCATAACCAAAGATAAATAACCGTAACCAAGAAGTCAAAAAATAACATATAAGCAAAAATTTCAGCTCTTACATTAAAAAGTAAATAATATTATAGTTATATACTCCCTAGATAGTAAAACATTCTCATTAACATATTAAGCACTCAAATTTGGACGGTTGAGGGAAAATATATCAAAGAAGTATAACGAAGGACAAATATAATTTTTTTTAAGAACAAAAGGGCAAATCCAACCCTTTTTCATTATTTTAATACAGTAAGCCTACATAATGCCATGTTTCTGGTGGGGGACAACCAGACAACTATCATGATGACTCCAGTCTCCAACATTAAACAAATCAGTAGCAGCTCCTAGGTGCTTTTAATCAATACATAATATCATTAGGGAATATTATCTAAGCTCAAGTGCGAATACTCAGTTGTGACTTACTTGGCAAAGAGCAATAATGACTTGTTAACACATGGGTGCAGAAAATTACCTGTAATTACAACATTGGTGAGGCCATTTCCATGAATAAGGCTAATATGTCTCGCTCCAAGTCTTTCTCTCCCTCTTCCATATGAAGGCAGCGCGTCGATTATCGGCCATTCATCTGGATCCTTTTAACAACACAACAGAAAAATTCACATTTTCTGTGAAAAAAATAAATAAAAATCTGACAAGATAACATAGTTAATTTCCTAAACGATCACTCAAGTCCGATTAAAATCACTTTTTATTTCTTTAGAACAACAAAATCATCCTCTTTCCCTCTTAAAACATTTTTGTTAGTGGAATACTATGCATTTTTGTTAGTGGAATACTATGTGAGACAAAAGTAAACAAAGGAGGAGAAGCCTTAGTCATCTAAAATTAAATAATACTCCAATTAGATCTAGGCTAGAACTTGGAATCAAATTCACTGGAGGGAAACTGTATAATCAACACTTAGCCTTTATTGACTTTTATCGAAAGTACCAAATACACAGACATTGACAAACATCTATTAAATTCACGTGTGACCACATAATTTCCATGTGAATCCCAATATAATTAGCTCTACAAAGAACTTGAGTCGAAAATTAATTTTCTTCCTTGTGAGGGTCTGGTCCACTTCTCTCACCCCCACCATAGCACCATCTTTTACTCCAATTAAAATATGTTACATACACTTGTATTTTTTTCCGTGTAGTTTTCGATATTTTAATTTTATTTTAAAATTTTGAATAATCTACGTTTAAATTTATGTCAATCTATGCCTGAATTCATGTAAGTTCTTCGAAACTTAAACAGTATGACTTGAAAAATTCTTTTGATTGCCGTTTACACAAACACTTCATTTCATTTAATACAGAAATAAATTGTAGGTAGGTTTCCAGAAAACTACGGAACTCAAAATCTTAGTAGCTCAGGTGATAGGCTTATATCCGTCTTACCCGTTTCTCCTTTACCTTTGCGGCTATGCCCAATTTAAATTTAAAATTAAAATAAATTAGGAAGGTAATGAATAATCACCTGAGAACCGAGGATAACAGCGCCATATTCGAGGAAGAGTGTGAAATTGCTGGTAAGATTGAAACTACCAGTAAGCCATCGACCTTTAGGAACAACAAGCTGGGACCCACCACTCTCCGTGAAACGGGACATAAACTCCATGGCCCGATGAAACGCCTTTGTATTTGAGGTTTTTCCATCCCCAATTCCACCGAAATCGCTGATTGATTTCACCACCTTCCTCGCTGGTACCTGTTTGAAGAAATCAGAGCAGCTCTTCTGTTGATAACTCGACACTAATCCTACCCGACCCGAAATGAAATCCAAAGGGATCGAGAAAATTGAATATTCCTTATTGATATGTAGACTAAACAGAGCAATTACAGTGAACAAAACCAACACAGATACCCATAACGGTCTCCTTATTCCTCCTCCTCCTCCCTTGATTCTATTCAAATTCAAATTCAAAATGGGGGTTTGTTCTTCCATAATGTCTCTGCATGTAGACACAACCTATGTCTACATGCAGAGAAAAAAGAAGAAGAAATTCTCTTTATCAACGATTGGGCTATTCATGAGTCATCAAAACTTGTAGAATAAGAACTCAAGGCTGGTGATTGGGTTTTTGGATTTTTCTTTGTCTTGTTATGATGGAATCACAATGAATAATTAATGGAGAAATGGTGAAGAGGAAGGTGCCTTTCGATCACACAAAGTGCGTCGTAATATTTAAATATAACTCTTGTTTTAGTGGGCATGTGTCTGTTTTATTCTACCATGACAGAGAAAAAAAAGAAGAAGAATATGCATGATCCAATTAACGTCTTTCTCATTTTTTTTTATTTTTTTTTAAAATTTCACGTTCAATGCACCACAATCTATATTCATCCTTTTCGTTAAAAAAAATAATTTTTTTCTATTTTAAATTTAAAATTCTAAACGATTAATAAAATCAATTTATATATAGTTAATACTTGTCGAGTAAAATAAACACGGGAATAAAAAGTAGTATTCCTTTAGTCCCAATCTATTTGAACATTTCGTTTTTTAACAGTCAAACAATTTATGTTTAATTGAGAAATTTGTTATAAAATCTTTAATTTTCTAAAATAAAATTTATATATATGTAAACTACTTAAAATAATATGATAAATTACAATAATTGACAATTCAAAATATTTAAAAATATATGAAAAATTTAATATTTATTAAAAGTAAACTTATTTAAATGTGTCACATAAATTAAAATAGAGAAGTACCTTCTCTCGCTATATAAGGGAGCACTATTAAGAAAGATTAATTCTTTCATATAAGAGTATGATTGAAAACAATTACTACTATTTCTTGATTTTAATTTCTAATTTGATTAATATTTTGATATATTTTATAATTAATATATATATAATTTTAATTTTATATCTTAGTTAGAAAAAGAAAAGGTCTTCCCCGTCCAAGAAATTAGGTAAAAGGTAGTTTGTAAATTCACATTTGCGTAAACGTGAATGAGTTGGCATCGTAAAACGATTGATAAAATGGCACTTTTTTCAATTAATGATGCCGCTATGTCCGGACACTAATTAAAGGTCATTTTTGGGTATTACATAAATGAGTTGAAATAAATTAGATTGATTTGAATAAATATGAGTATTAAATTGTCAATCGAAATTGTAATATAATAATATTTATATTTTATTGACAAATTCTCATTACTTGACTTTATTTATGATTTGGATCCTTATAATTAATTGAATTTTAAATTCATTAAAAAATAATATTTTAAACAGTACGATAGAATTAACATTCAACACAATATTTAAAAATAGATACCGTTTTGAAAGCGAATTGTGTACCATTAATATTTTTGACAGTATCGAAATAGTCCCACCAATAAAGATGTTCTATATATATAAAAAAAAATTAAATGAGAGTTGTAAATACCTTTTTAGTTTAAATTTTGTCAAAATAAAATTAAATAAAGAGCACATAAACTCTATTGTATGATATTTTAACATTTTATGTAACCTTAGGTCTAGAGCTGTCAATATGGGCTGACCTATTCTAACCGGGCTAATCTATACATGCTTTGATATTTTACCTATTAGGCCGGGCTAGTCCATTTTTTGTGTGGGCCAGAAAATGACCGGCCCAACCCACAATATGTGGGCTACAATTTTGCCGGACCAGTGCACTTTATTTAAAAATTATATTATATTTAGAATTATTAAATTAAATTATAAATTATAATTTAAAAATATTATCATAAATATCGACAAAACAATATTACATGATGTTAATGTAACTATTTTTTTAACTAAATCCACAAATAAAATTATCTTTGTAATATTTATTAATTTTTTTTCAAGTAAAAGTATAAATATCTAAATAGAAATATTAACCTGATTGTTTTGAGTTTGTACTCTCTTTAGTTTTAAAATTTAATATTATGTTATATTTTAAATAAATTTTTATTGGGTCATGCGCTGTCTTACCGATATTTCTCAAGCCCCACAAATCAACATGCTTATTCAGGCCGAGCTAAAAAAGTCATTTTCTCAAATGAGCTTCAAAAATCGTTACCCAATCTTATTAAATCTCGGACTAGGTCAAACCGGCCCAACAGGCCTAACCCATATTGACGGCTCTAGTTAGGTCACCACAATTCAAGAAACAAAATAAAAGCTAAAATCTTTTTTCAAATGAGTGTATTACAAATCTAGGTTAGTGTCGGACTCATTTATATATGTAGTAACTAAACTTTTTGTAGATCAATGACGTGGTGAATTTGCGCAAAATAATATTGTGTAATTTTAATTTAAATGACATATTTCATTTTTTGAGAGTCAAAATATTTAAGTTTAAATAAAAATTTGCTTATAAAATCTTTAATTTTTTTTTCAAATGGAATCTATATATTTGTGAATTATGTATACGTAAAAAATAGTATAAGTTACAATAATTGATGATTCAAAATATTTAACAATATATAAAAAATTTATGATAAAAATTAAACTTATTTAAATCTCAAAATTCAAATTGTATCACACGACTTACAATCAGGCACAAAAGAAAAGAACAATTTATAATAAATTGTACTGGAGCACCATATTAAGGCATGGAGTTATCATATTTCCAAATAAAGAGTATGAAATAGTATGGACAGTATGGTGTACTAAATTAATTAGGTGAGGATTACATTACTGCGAATAAGACACGTAAGTGTTGTATAAATAAATTAAATGTTAAAATTATCCTCAATTTTGGATTGAAATTCCAAAAAACTAACATGTTGATACTTCTTTGTAACCATATAATAGTAGAAATGAAATATATCTAGATTATTATTGAAATGCAAAAGATGTCAATGATGTCACATTGATATAAGACAGTCACAAAGCCATTGACATTTAGATATAATCATACATCATTAATGTTAACTTTTTAAGAAAATTGAGTATATTTTAGGAGTGATATAAGTATATAATTTTTATGAAAAAACAGAAAAGATGATCTATATATGAAGAATGCTAAACAGATCAGATAGAGATAGAGGGTGTGTTCATCAACAATGGTTAGGGATGGCAATCTGGTTTGGGTGGGGGGGACGCGGGGCGGGGTTGGTTCAAGACTATGTGTGGTGGGACGGATTTAAGGTTATGTGGTGCAGGGCAAATTGAGGTGGGTTTTTTTAAAATTAATGTGATGCTTGGCGGGTTGCAGGTATATGTAATTTTATGTGGGTACAAACTTAATTTTATCTTTTTACATGTTATTGAGTGATACAACATTGTTTCTTAAAATTATTTCATTAAAACTGCTAAAATATTCAAGATAATAAATGAAAATGATTTAATAAAAAATAATATAATTTCTTGCATGTTTCCCAATTGACCTCTAAAAAAATAAAATTTTAAGTTACTATCCTATAAATTAATACAACTTAATGAAAAAATAATTTGATTTTATGATTTTTATTTATACTATCAAGCATAACTAGAAAAAAAAATATTAAAAAAATTATGTGGGGGAGTCTATGCAGGGCGAGTATATGCGGGGCAAGATGAAACGGGTTGAAAATAAAATGTGTTGCTATGCGGGGCGGGACGGGCAGGGCGGAGCGGGAAGAATTAAAAGTTATAAGGATTAAGCTCAACCCGCACCGCCCACCATACATCGCCCCATTGTCATTAGAGCTATCAATATGGGCTAGCCCATCCCATCCGGACTAACTCAAACAGGCTTTAAAAAATCATTACAAGTAAATGGAAATAAAGGAGGTAGACATAACATCGTAAACTATAGGGGAGATCAGTGTTATAGAACAAAACTTGGAGGGAGGTTTCTGAAATTATCCCATAAAATTATCTTTATAATATTTATTATGTTTTTTTTTAATAAAAAATATAAATATCTAAATAGAAATATTAACTTAATTGTTTCTCTCTTTAATTCTAAACTTTAATATTATTTTATATTTTTTAATTAATTTTTATTGGCCGACGGATTGGCCTTACCTATATTTCTCAAGCCCCACAATTTAACAAACTTATTCAGGCCGGGCTAAAAAACCCTTTTCATAAATGGACTCAAAAAATCTTAATCCAACTCTATTAAATTCTGAATTAGGCCAGATCGATCCAACGGGCTAACCTATAGTGACGGCTCTGTGGTTATCCCTAACAATTGTGGCAATTGTGGCAGATTTTGCAAAGAAATTTAGCCACTTTGTTACGGCTCTATGGTTATCCCTAACAATTGTGGCAGATTTTGCAAAGAAATTTAGCCACTTTGTTAGCTTATCGATATCTGTACTAGTATGAGATGAGATAAGATGAGAATGTGATATCATGTTGAACAATATTATTAGTAGTATCCTCTGCATGACATTTTATTTAAATTAAGTTTATCAAAGGTCTTGCTTTTATCATCATATCTAAAATAACTTGAAAGTCACTATTGAAAAAGTATAAATAAATTAATAAAAAATTAGAGATTGAAGAAAAAGAAGAAAGGAATGACTTTTAATTATAATTTACCGACCTAAAAATAATCGAATTATAATCAACCTCATGAGTTCAATTACTTTTACTACTATACCATTGATGTCTTTGATTAAAACTACATGTCGCCTTTTTATTTATTACACTTTTTTCTTTTTCACTTCTTAATTTTATATTTCCATGAAAAAATCGACTTCCCAAAGCCGCATTTTATTTTTATTTTTCTAGAACCTTCAAACTTTTAAAGTCGATTTTATTAAAAATAAAGTAATAATAATAAAACCAACCTCCCAAAATTAATTTTTTAGCTTTTTTTTTTTTTAAAAGAAAAACAATCTTGGGAAGATCAGTCTGTTTTTTTTCAATTTTTTGCCCTAAAAATGCATTTTCATCTATTCATGAAAGAATAGATAAAATTAGATTTAGAAGCTTATCTTGTGAGTTATACTAAAGATTTGACAATCTTCACACTAAGAAGCTGTTTTGCTATACAAATTTTACACCTTTGTCTCTTATGATTACTATATTGGCTAGACATAATTTTACACATTTGTCTTTGATGATAAGTATATTGGCTAAACGCAATATCTTAATTATGGTAAAATATGATGTTAACATTTAAAGTATTCTTCTTAGGGAGGGGATGTCATACCCTGGATAAAGATCCTCGAGTAATATTAGGTCAAGTAATGTTTAATGATCTTATAGATTCATGACATGTGTATTATAAAATAATTTATGATTAAGATTTATTTAAATTATATACTCATTATAATAATAAA